AAAAAAAGCTAACTAGAGAGAAGAATAGATAAATAAATTGAGCTGTAGACATGGAGCTGTATTACAGTAGAGAAAAGCACACAAATGAAAACTACTCAGCAACATGGATACCAAATGGAAAGCAATTCTCAGTGTACACAGAATGATGGTATCTGTTCAAAACAGGAAAAACTAAAATACACACTGTATAGGAATGTTTGCAAATATAATTAAACTATTAAGAAAGATTAAAGAATGACAAAACACAAAATACAGGCTCATGATTACTGATGTGGGGAGGGAAGAGGAATAAGGACGAAGAACTTGAAAGGACTGGACAACATTCTGCTCCTCAGACTGCTGGGCACCTGGATATTCACTGTGTTACTTGTATCCTACTTCCTGAACATATTCAGATTGATGGTGATAGACCACTATTTTATAGTGGAGCAGAGAAATTATCTTACTGCTGTCTGATGCCAAGCACACTTCCTTGCTCATGGTAGATATTTCAAAATTGTTTGTAATTGAATGATTTAATTAAATGAGTGAATAGATGATATTTCAATTTTATAACCTTTCTACCCACACACACATCAAACTAGAGTTAGAAGTCTTGCTGTTGTCAACTACTGGGAACATGTAAAGCTGGAGGGTGTAGGCAACTCTACCTATGGTTATCGTCAATGAAGGGCTGTTGGGTACATGTCCTTTGAGGAGGCAAGAACTGAACCTGCAGAGACTCAGAGGGGGCGGGTCTAGAGACTGACACTGAGAAACACTGAGCACACTGGGGAAAGGGGGAGGAGTAGTGGCCATTTTGGAAATGGAGCTGGTGAACTTTGGGGAGAAGGCGAGTGTACCAAGTGGCATTGGTGGTGAGATCTCAAAGCTTAGTCAAGATGTAGAAAATGGGCCATGGGACTTTATGCCTTTGTAAGTCACCCTTTCCTAGATGTTATTAACCATGCTAAAACACCCAAATAGAATGTATTATGTTGGTTTTGTCAATCCGAGTTAGGACCAAGAGACTTAGGAATCCCAGAGGGTACACGTGGGTCTCTCGAGAGGGAGGGAAATTTGGCACAGCATAGAGAGATTTTTATTCAGCCCCTCTTGTTCACCTAACCATCCATCCATCCATCCATCCATCCATCCATCCTTCCCTAGGTACATTCAGTGATAAGCATTGATTGAATAAAAACTTAGACATCAGAGGTAACTTCTTTCAAGAACTGAGGGGTAAATTGCCATGTGAGATAAAGACATTGGCTGCATCCACACCATCTCAGAGATTATCTCAGTGCCTCAACAGGCACAGGACACCCAACAGATCCTGAGCTCACCTTGGCACACAAATGAAGAGGGTGTTTCCCCTGGGTGGACTCGTCCTGTAATGAATACCACCTTCTTCTCTGCCCCTTCCTGGAGATTTTCTGTAAGAAAAAAGTGGAAGGTCACTATGGAGAGTAAGTTGAGACTAAAGACTAGTGTGTGGGGTGAGAAATGGGCTGGATGCTTTATCTCTTAAGTAACTGGGTTAGCATCATTAATGACCAGCTGTGGTTGACTGATTATGTCTCTAATTAATAATCCACATTCCATTTTCTTGATGTAACTTAGAATATTATATTAATATGTAATATTTACAGTCACCTGAGGAAGCCATGAGTAAAGTTGCATCCCAAAGCCACTGGCTGTGCCCCTAGGCAGTTGTATATCTTTCTGAGTTTCAGTGTTCTTATCGATAAACTAGGAGAATAATATCTATTTCATATGGTTGTGATGATTAAACGAGGTTACACTTTAGAGTATTAAGTAACCATCTAACAAATGATGGAATAAAAAGTAACAATATTAATAGTAGCATCTGGCATTTAATTAACCCCTTTTGTGTAAGAAACACATTTTATATATATTTATAATCCTTAGGGCATCATGTAGTAAATACTCTGTTATCAAGCAGAAACTGAAGCTCGCTGAGGTTATATAATTTCTTCAAGTTCACATAGCTAATAGATTATGTCAGAAGATGAGATTAGAATTCAGGTTTTTATTTGGTGGTAATGAAGTAATAAGGGACAGATTTCCTTTTATGTTAAACACTAGAAAATTAGGAGTGTAGCTGTAGCTTAATGGTCAAGCCCTTGCCTGGCACATGTAAGGCCCTGGTTTGACTCCTAGCACTGGAAACAAAAACCTAGAAAATTAAACAGAATATACAAAACAACTGTTTTCGAATGTTAGATAAGAGACAAGAGGCAGTACAAGATTTTCCATGAGGAAAGAGAAGTGAGTGAGGTATGTCCCGTGCTTGCTCCATCTTCTGGTCATCAGTCAGGGAGAATGAGAATGCAGAAGGACCACATCACAGTAGTATGGCTAAACTACTTTAGACACATCCTAATAAGGATTAAAATGAGTCTGAAAAGAATCAAACTGTAGAAAAGAAACTTTGCTTGCTAAACAAAGTCCACCTCTCTTTAAAGAAGAAAACAAAATCCAGACACTCAGCGATATATACTTTTTAATGTCTAGTATCTAATAAAATTATTAGACATGTTGAAAATCAGGAAACTATAACTCTAAATCAATTTCCAATCTCTTTCTGATACTACAGAAATCTAGCCTGTAAAAGTTTAGCCATTCTGTAAAGATATTGCTAAATAAGAGCAATAACCAAGAATAATATTCCTAAAATGAATGGGGAAGGAAAAAATATTCAGTCAAGGCAGAAAGACTAATTAACACAAAATATAACAACAACCTGAAAGAAATTTAGGAAGAAACTGAGAAAAGTTGGATTAAAGGCGCATTATCAAGCTGGGGAGATGGCTCAGTGGTTAAGAGCACTGACTGTTCTTGCAGAAGACCTGGTTCAATTCCCAGCACCCACATGGCAGCTAACAGCTCTCTGTGACTCCAGTTCCAGGGAATCCAGTACCTTCTTCTGACCTCCATGGGCAGTTCATGACAGGGGTGCACTTATATACATGCAGGCAAACACTCATACACATAGAGTAAAAATAATAATTAAAATATTTTTAAAAGGAGCCTTATCTATGTTAGAAGATGATCTGGAGGGAGAGGGCACAGAAGTAACAACAGGCTTTCTCCTACAAGGTTGGTCATTTTGAATGTGCCTCATCATCCCAACAGACACACCAATGTCAGACACTAAAGTAAAAAATATTAGCTCTATTAAATATTGTCCTAAAGGCTGGTGGCTTATTTGGTCCATTGGGGTAGCCAGGAAGCACCCGGGGCACTATTTCCCCTGAAAGCCAGCCAGGAACATATTGGATCAACATACAGGAGAATTTATCCTATGAACCCTGAAGGAACAGATGAAAGAAATTTATAATTTCAAAGATGAGTTAAACACCTATACATTTCCTGGACTGAATAGAAGCTACTGCAGACAGAAACTTGTGTCTACAGGCAAATCTCTACTGTCTTTTCAGGATCCTGTAAGGCGTGGGTGTTCAGGAACTAGTCACTGAAATGATAAATGAAAATAATTGTATAGATCATATTTCCTCAGGAAATTTAGACACCTGTTATCTCATTTCATCATGCTTTTGTGAAGTGAGGAGTGTCAATACCATTTTACAGGTGAGAGATCTGAGACCCACAAGAGGAATGGATGTTCTCCAGGTCTCTCTCCCAGCAACCAAGCCTTACCCCTAGGCAGTTCATTTCTCTGCCCTATCGGACTCCCTCTTGATCCACTAACAATATATGATCCCATATCTGCTACATTTCCATCCACAACGTACACAAGAGACTTTGATTTCATTCTTTATTGCTGATGGAAATTGAATCACTGCCTTAGTATTTATATTGCTTTGTCACTTAACTTTTAAAAATCCCACCCTCCAAACCCTTTTTAAAAAATGGTACATAACACTGACCCCATCTATCCCAGCAGTCCAGAAATGATGAATGACAGTACTGAAGCCCTCAGTGAAGGCTAACTTTATGGATGTCTCCCCTGACCCAGTATCAACTCAATTGCATTCAGTATTTCTGCTGACCACAGGGAAATGCAAAATGGGCATTCTATTTGCACACTAATTTTACTGAGCCCCTGTGTCTTCATAAAATGATAACACAGGGCTAATAAAAATCAAGCATCTCTGGTGCTAATATAAGCAAATGTTGATGCAGGCAGGTAACAAATTGCTTTGTCATTTAGGAGGCCATAAAAGAGCATTATAATCATCTTTAGGTAAAATGGATGGGTTGCCTTTGCTTAGCTTTTAGCTTTCATTTGCAAAATCAATTTAAGATAATGTAGCCGCTCTGAGGTGGTGTGACATGGGGCTGCCCCAAACCCCTCCTGTCACCAGATCCCCAGCCTCCTCTGTGCAAAGCCAGTTAAACATGTTCTTGGTGGAGGCGGCAGGGATGAAGAATGAAGCATGCTTGAACAAAGCCACAGTGGAACTGGAAGCAAGCAATGGGGCCAAGAAGAGCCCAAAAGGAATGGTGAAGCAGAGAAATCCAGAATGCTGACATGTTCAAGGGCACAGTGTGCTTTGTGCAGCATTCCTAATACCTGTACATGAGCGCACGCACACACACACACACACACACACACACACACACACTACACACAGGCCTCCCTTGTCATTATAATACTATATCATTCTTGAATCATTATTCATAAAAAATGCACTGAACATCTATTACGTGACCAGGTACTAGCTACTATTATCTTCATTTTATAGAAAAGCAAGAAAAACTTGGCATTGTCCTTACAAGGCCAAGATTCTAGCTAGAGCCAGAATCCCAACCCAGGAAGAAACTGATCTTAATCTCTATGCTACCCTATGAAGGAGAGCAATAATATTATTCCATTGTTATAGCAATTAAATAATATTTATTGACTATTCTGCATCAGGCCCTTTATATGCATACTTAATCATATGTAATCATCACAGAAACTCAATGAAGCATATTTCTGTTATTATATTGTTTTATCCTTTTTTCATAGATTAGTAAACTGAGATCTAGAAACATTATCTTGACTAAAGTTCAAAAATAGCAAATGTAGGAACCAATATAATGCCTAGGTCTTTATGAATCTCTCATTTAGGTTTTTAACTGCTGTGATGTATTGACTCTTGAAGATGGAAAAGGGTCCTTGTGTTTTTTTCAAAATTGTAATCAAGGATTCTTTTTTGTTGTTTGGGGTTCAGTTATTTGAGATAGGGTCTTGGTGTACAAGGCTGGTTTGAAACTCTCTATTTAGCCCAAAGGCCTCAAACTTTCTATTCTGCTTCAGCCTCCCAAGTGCTGGGTTACAAGTGTGTCATTATGCCCAGTTCCCATCAATTCTTTGTTAATTACTACTTTTCAAGAGATGGAGATTAACTTCCTCCCTCCTCCGTGTACATTGGGCTTAGATACTTCTAAAATATGGAGTCCTACAAAGGAATGTTGCAGTAATTTTGAGATTGGGTTGTACACGGTCTGAGGCTGTAAAAGGACTGAGGTCTTACGTATGTTTCTCACTCTTCAATCACTCACTCTTGGAGAGGCCAGATGCTATGTATGTCATGAAGACAGTCAGGTAAGCCATGGAGAGAACCATAAAGTGAAAACAGCCAAGAAGAACTTATGTCCGAGCAAATTTGGAAGGATTCTGTAGTCTTGGATGGCAACTGCCATGGCCAAGACCTCAGTGCAGTCTCAGAAGAAACCCTCAGCAGAACCCCCTGCTAAATGTTCCCACATTGTTGACCCACAGGATCAAGAAGGATCAAGAGAGAACACATACCTGTTGTTTTAATATGACAAATTCTAGAGTAATTTGTTAGGCAGAAATAGAATCTCCCTGGAGATAACTACATTTTCCCTAATTGATATGTTGAACCTAAGTAACCTTGCAGCTTATCTGTTGATACTGACCTGTATGTGGATTAAAGTCATGATCATGGTCTCTCAAGAGATTGCAGAAAGGAAGCATTAACCCATTTGATGAATTACCGGTTGATCCCTGGCTGGTAGAGGTACTAGAAGATGTTAGCAGGCCCACAGAACACTCACTGGGCCCTTTGAGGATAAAAGTCTTCCAGAAGTTCACTGTTGATTTTGTTTCTCCAGCTCTTCTGATAATAACTTGTTGTGAGTGATGAGACATTAATGTCAAAGAAGAATGAGGTGGAGTGCTAGGAGAAGAAGGTAGTATAACAACAGCATTGTTTTAATTTATACCTAAGCCTTTTTTACTTTCTTGTCTTCATGGTCCTTTTAAGATACAATGAAGCCAAGAAAATGCACTCCTACTTGTTTTAGACAAGACCAGTTGCAGTCTTTTCTCCAATTCTTCAGGGCACATATGTCCATATTGCTACTAATCAAGAAATTAAGAAGTCATTGTAGGTACTACAGCATACTTGGCTAGCAACTGTCTGTGGACCCTGGAATC